CGCTCGGGGCCGGGCTGGTGACCCCCGTCGGAAGGATGCCAGGGAGATCGTGTGTCGCAGGAGCCCCGGGGGCCCTGGGGAATGTGACCTTCTCCCACCGTGCTGTGAGGAGTAACCGGATCCTGCAGTAAATTTAGCGCCTGACCTTTCCTGCGCGGCTGCCCCAAGCAGGGGTCGCTCTTAATCTTCAATTGGGGCTCCTTGGCCTTTGAACGCAGCTGATGGGCTCCCTTCTGCCCCTCTGGGCAGGGAGCAGCTGATGCCCCAGAGGGAAAGCCATGGACTGTTATGCCCTGCCTTGCCCAGCCAGCCAGGCTCCTTGCTCCTCCTACTTATCTGTGCATCTCTCTCCCCAGATTTGGCCGCATTGGCCGCCTGGTCACCAGGGCTGCCATCCTCTCTGGCAAAGTTCAAGTGGTGGCCATCAACGATCCCTTCATTGATCTGAACTACATGGTGAGTTGCCTCGTGGTGTCTCCTCCAGGCCTTCTATGCAGTTTGCCTCTTGCAGTGGGGCAGTGGACTCCCCTAGCTCTGTTCTGGCAGCTCCCCATGGATGTCAGGTGTGGGGCTGTGGGTGGAATGAGAGAGACAAAGCGTAGGGTTGTGGGCCCAGCAGATTTGGTGGAGCCGAGTACAGAGCAGCAGTTGGATCAGCTCACTGGAGAACTCTGGGATCTGTGATTGCAAGAGCAAGGGATGGGGGGTTGCAGCTAGGGTGCCTGACCTCTTCCCCCCCCCCCCCCCCCCCCCTCCCTCTTCAAATATGACTCTACTCATGGTCACTTCCGGGGCACTGTCAAGGCTGAGAATGGGAAACTTGTGATTAATGGGAACCCCATCACCATCTTCCAGGAGTAAGTATCTCTTTCTCCCTCTCATCCCTTGGAAGGGTGAAAACAGATCTCTCACAGAGCAACTCTTATGATTTTGTCCCTCCTCAGGCGTGACCCCAGCAACATCAAGTGGGGAGAAGCTGGTGCTGAATACGTTGTGGAGTCCACTGGTGTCTTCACCACTACAGAGAAGGCTAGCGTGAGTAGGCCAGTGGCATGTGGGAGAAAGGACGCTTGCTGCTCCTACCTGTGGGGCACATCACCATGTACAGAGT